ATGTGTGTTAACATAAAATAATTTGTATTTGTAATTTTTATTAGTAATCAAATATTTTTGTTTTCCGTTTATGTTTAATGTTAAAAATACAATAATACATTAAAACAATCAACAGATTAAAAAATGCCCTTTAGTAATTTTGCATTCTAATCGCACCAGAATCGTATTGTCATTCACAAATATAAGATAATCACATCACACCCAAATCACATTTCGATTCACAAGTTTAACTAATCGCATCGCTTTCTAATCGGATCGTTCTCTCACACGAATCGCAGTCACACCCAAAACGGAGTATCATTCGGAGCCTTCGTATCAGAGTTAGCAAAAATGAGTACATTAATACCACATATGAAAAGTCACTCCATTTTGTTCACGCCTTCAACTTCGAACGTTTCAAGGCTCGAAAGCTTCAAACGCAATTGACCGTTTCGAACGCAGTCTAATTAGTCCCCTCTTCCGTAGTATGTATCTTGAAGGATCTTTTGCGAAAGTAATCAGCCTGAAAGTCGAAATAAACAGAACATTATACATGGAAATTTATTGGGGATCATAAGATATAACAAGGTACATTTGGTACCAAAAGACGAATCTTTCCCCCATTTCCTTAGAAATATACAAATCTATTTTACTACACTAAAGAATCAAAAGTTCTGGTATGTGGATCCATAAATAGTAGAATTGCATTTCCTAGAGGTAAAAACATCAAATATTCCAAGGATAAAATTTTTGAAGAAAAAATATTCACCGTTTGACTGCATGAATTTCATGTTTTTTCTACCAATATTCCACTATGTGGTTTTACACTATCTTAACAATTTTGAGGCAAACATATACGAAGAAGAAAGTGAAACCTTGTTTCTAGCATTGTTGAAAATTAACTCCTCGAAGCTGGCAGCAATTCTCATGAGCTCGTTAATTCCTTCTTGTCCAGAAATGGGAACATGTTTGTTTAGTGCTTCCATTCTGCTCATATGACAAGTAATTTAATGATACATAATCCATATTTACAGGTCAAGGAAATATGACAAAACGTTATAAGCATGTATAATGAACTTACATCTCGTTGACATTCTTGTGGCGTGAATCCGGTGGCAGTTGAGTTCTCCAGTCATCTATGTTCATGTCAGGTTCTCTTTTTGGAAGAGAAGTCCTTGAATTGTCATTGTCCATATGATAGGCTATGTTTACAAATCATCAAGAATATATTTATTAACTCCAGAAAACTGTGAAAACAAAAACTGGAAAAAAGCTCGACAGGCTCCATTTTTAATACATGATTGATACAAGGGTGTTGTATTATTAGCAGCAGGGAGAAATGTCAAATAACC